ATTGTTAGCCACAGAACGAAGACTTATAACTGGTGGGTGATTTGAGTCTCTTGTTATTCCTGGCTGAAGGTCTGGTTTTCAAAATGATAATAAGTTTATGTATTAGAACGGAGGTGTCCTTCTGAAGATCTTGAAGGAAAGTGTTCCTTATGTGTAAGGTAAACTAACCATGACACTAGAAAGATAGATGACTACCTCTCACCATCATCACAATTGGGTATAAACCATATTTAACAGAGTAACACAGAAAAATAGTTTCAACAAGATCAATGTCTGCTGGTATTTTGAATGTTATTAATCCAGACACATTAATTTCAGAGACTGGCTCCTTTCATCAAATCTTATTCAGAGAAGAACTGGTGATCTATGCAGCCTGTATGATGACGACAGCAGTCAGCTGGAGTTCCAAGTGACAGAGCCATGGTCACGAGCCTGTAGCCCTGCAGTTCTTGTGGGACCACAGCTCCCCAATCCCTAACCACTAGTCATGCTGGCTGGAGCCGATGTGAGTTAGAGACCCAAAACACCTGGAGAACCACAGGTTTCTCACTGCTGTCCGCACTGGGAATCTAAAAAAGTAGGCAAGCTTTACTTCGCAATATATTTATTAATTGCATTTGAAACAGCTGTTTCAGGTATAGCATGAAAACTAGAGTGGTACAACGGCTAGAGTTTTGAGCTTGAAAATAGGAAACCCATGTTGAAATTCCTGCTCCAAGAAACCTTGAACAAGTTGCTGTCTCTGTCTCTCTTTTTCCCTCCAACCACAGTGGTGAGTTGCTGGTCCAAGTTTCCTGGAGGAACAGCTGATACAAAAATCTAAATAAATAAATCAAAATAAATGTCACCTGGAGTTACCAGTGGCTTCCAGCAGCAGCAGCGCCAAATCAATGGACCTGTGTTCATTCACAACCTCAGTCTTAAGGGTTGATCTCCCAGCCAAAATTCCACTTCCTCCAAGAAGGCTCTGGGATGAGTAGTTAACTCTGCAGTATGGAGATAAATCAGCTGACTCCAAGCATCTGCAAAGGGTAAGGAGGTAGTTCTGCTTCTTCTTAGAGGGGAAGCCCCCTGGAAGATATTGCTGGTCATCTTCAAGAACTTCCTGGTGGGACCTGCAGGCTTTCTTCCTCCACCACAGTGCATGAAAGGACACAGGGCGAGATACGTAGGTTTGGGGACAGAAAGCAAGGCCATCTCAATAGTGGTTTGTAGGCTGGGTAGTTCCTTCCTAAGCGAGATTCAGAGCACTTCCTCACTAGTGTGTTGTATCTTTGTAGAGGGTTTGGAACAAATTGTGGATAACTGATTGTTCCTACTTTTTTTAACCCTAGCTTCAAATACATTGGGATAAGGGAGTTTAAAATTAATACAAATTAACTCTCCATTTTTAAAAGGCTGTACAGGGATCTAAAATTATGCTCTTGAATAAACGGTAGGTACCTGTGTTTCAGGGTTTGTTTTCAAAAACGAATCCACAAGGACCCAACGAAAGTTTCACGTTGGCAATTCTCTCGCGCCTGCCATGCGGCATTTACACAAAGTCTCTTTGAATACGTGCAATACTTTCCGCTAGTGGGGTGGAGCTATAAACTCAAGGTACAGTCCTGGTTGTACCCTAAACATTGATTGTTTTTGCTGCAGCAACATTTTAAGTTTCGTTTGAGGAAAGACAGCAACACTTCTGTGCTTTCCTACCAAATCCAGCCATATGGAGTAGAGTCTGCAGTAAAATCCAGAATTAGCTCTGAGCATCCTTCGGAGATTCTTTTGAAAGCAGGAAGGACCACTCCAGAATTCTACACACAATATAAATTGCTAGCTAGAACGGCTCTGTCAAACAAGGCTGACACTGTTACTACCTTCTACAATCCCAAGAGGCATAAAACAGTAAATCCCTGAAGAAAAGGCACTGGCATGAAATTATAACTGAAACAATAATACCATATATGTGCATGCAGACAAAACCGCACACCTTAAAAGGCTACCAATGAATTTACCATGATGGGAGTAAAATTGGATATAACTATTCTAATGTTGGGGGGGGGGGAGATTCGGAACCCCCAAACTGAAGTACTTTAGGGTTTTCCGTAATGAAGAAATCCTTTTTAAAAAAATTAACCACTTGGCTGCAGAAGAAAACTTTGTACCCATTTTATAGGTGCATTTCAGAGATCCAAAGCTCCCATTGACCACTGCTACCCAATGGGCTAGCTTCAAGCTTATTTCACCACCGCTGGAGAAGGGGAAGCAAGGTCACACTCTGGCACTTGCTAAATGCTCACATCCGTAAAATTCCAGCTGATTGCACAGATCAGGACCGCATGCATTCTATTTTGTACATTACCCTTTTTATTTTATACATGCACAGGTCCTGTGCCTATTTTATGCCCACATGTGGGTGTCTACTGCGCCTGGAGGTGGAACAGGTGTGCGCGCTGGGAAAGGCAGAAAGCCACAACCTTGCTTGCGTGCCACAGAGGGCTTTGGCTTGTGGGGAAGTCCATGGGGACCGGCCCAATGGCTACAGCCACGGGCAGTGAGGACAACAATCTCACTTTCCACTGGCTAAGAAATCGACTAAGCTAAAAGAAGCCTGTTGAAAAGAGCATGGAGAGTGCCACTGAGTCAAGGCACTGAGTCACGAAAGGTCATGTCAAAACATATCAGAAGGCAATTTGCTAGCAGACGGCTTTGCAACTCTAGTTTTGTTGTTGTTGTCTGCTGCTGATGATGTAGACTTGCGTTGATTTTAAGAATAGCTGGGATCCAAGCCTATATTATTATTATTATTATTATTATTATTATTATTATTATTATTATTTAAAGAAACCCATAAAGGGAAAACAAAACTTAAGGGCACATTGTGCTATTTAATTCCAGCATGAATATTCCAACCGCTCCACTGCATCATCCCCTTTCCTTTAACCTACAGCCTCTTTTCCATCTCGCCTCGTCTGTATGCACTGCGATGTAAAAGTCACTTGAGGGCACGGAAATAATTTGCATGCATTCAGGCATTCTGAAATGCACCCTCAGCACAGAACCCCTGTTTCCTTTAACAAATCCCTGCCGGTTTGGAAATTTTCATTGATGCTGTTCTCTACAAATTCATCCCTGGTCATTGAAGGATACAGCTCTCAATGGCTACTACTCATAATGGGTATATACTTCCTCCAGATCAGAGGAAGCATGCATCTGAATGCCCGTTGCTGGGAAACAGCAGCGGAAGAGAATGAACGTCTCCATGTCCTGCTTGCGAAGCTTTTCAGAAGCATCTCCTTGTCTTGACCACTTGTGTAAAAAAGGGATGCTGCGCTGGATAGGCCTTCGGCTGGATCCAGCCCAGTTCTTAGGTGTCTTACTACACGCTGACAATTACTACAGAATTCCTTGCTTTTAACCCCGTGATGTGTTTCATACCCACTGATGACTAGATGGCAATAACATACACAACTGAAATGTCTCGTGTACGGCAACCCCAAATTCGTCTGCCTATTTCACTTCCAGAATGCCTGTGTCCAGCTGTCACAAAAGATCAGCCTTCCTTACTGCTGTATTCCAGGAAAGCTATGGATGTCAGTATCCTTCTTCACCCACATGCTGGATTGGCTCCTTTGCCACCATACGCAGAACATGTTAAGTGCTCGGTGCTACTGAACCAAAAAGCATTTCGCTAACATACCATGCAACAACAATGAACACGGCTTGCATTTAGAAGCATGTGCAAAATGCTAACTACGAAGATAACTTTAGCTGCCTAACCTCAAGTAAGATCACTGTTTCCATTATTAACCAGTATTCTCAGGGGCTTCCCAACAAGACCAAGAAACCACATGTTCAGACACGAAAGTGATTTTGCCTCATACGCTTAATGTCTTTCCTATAAGCACTTTAAACTAAATGCACGCATGCTATATTCACAAGCGTCTTAATCCAGAAAATGTAACTTTGAAAAACTGCCTTCTCTTATTTTAAAGAGCAAAATATATGCCAATTCAAAACCATAAGCTGGACCTCAGTGATTCAACGAGATTGTGGGGTGGGGAGGGGGTAAGACATCTGTAGATGAAAATGTATTCATAGGTTGCAATTCAGCTATCATGCACCCCCAGTAACTATTTGAAATAAGCATTTTGCACTAAGCAGCCAGGGTCAGAATCCATGTTGAAAGCCATTCATAGTACTGCAATTCAACAGCATATGCTAGAATAGAAGCTACACCCCTTTATGGACCGTACTGTAGGATTACAATACCACTGGTGCAATCCTAGCCTCAAAGACGTCAATAGAAATTCAGTCACCTAGGTCAGTAACAGGCAAAATAGAGCCCAAATGCATCCCTTAAAAGTAGTATAACACGTAATGCTTTTCTGTAAACTCATTGATCACAATGCACAACGTTCAGCCATCGCCAAGAGACTGACAACTCTTCTTCCCTCCTCACCCTTACACACACACACAAATACGCAAGCATTCAATATCCTTTAAAAAAAAAAAAACCCAGATGATGCGTTGCGGATCCTTCCCATTCTGCTACTGGGAAATGGTAAGAGCAAAGAGGCTTAACTACAGCTGGAAGCAAGGGCTCCTGCAGCTGGAAGCCCATACAAATCCTCTATCAGCAATACCCTGGTACAACACTATGGAGACATGACCAGAATGCTAAGCGAACTACGATTTTCCAAGTTTAATCATACCTCCAAGCATTATCTAAATATACATCTCTGTGACTGATCAGTTACTGGCTTTTCCTTCCTGCCTTATGGGGGGGGGGGACAAAAACATAGCAGTTACTGCTTTTAACAAAAGATTTCGTCTGCAGAGGAATGACTCAGGATAAAACTTTTAAAAACCCCATTCCCTTTCGTTACACTACGACATGACGTAATCATACACAAGTTAGCATTCCCCACATGTTAAAACCATGCACATCTCAAAAGCACCGTGGGTTGCAAACGGCAAACCAATTCATAATGTGTAAAGGCCATAATAGATACCTTTCTTTCTGTGTCCTTTACAGAGGAGCTCCTTCTTCCGCACTGGCTACAAGGCTATTCCTATGAAAGAGCACACAGACACACACACAAGGGGTTGTTGTTTTTCCAACAGGAGAGGATGCACGCACCCATATTACAGACAATTTATCCTGTATCTTGTCCTAGAGCTCTCCCTCCACTTGCAACTGCAATGTTCCCTTATCCTGCATGGCTGCTACCACTGATTGAAATTCAACATGCAACCTACTGCAAGCATCAGTGCAGTCACCGCGAAGCAACCAAGCCAAGAAATAAAAAGATTTAGCCTGTGGGAACATGCAAAGTGGATACAACAGGAGTTTGCCACAAGTGAATTAAAACAACCCCCCACCCCAATAAAAGGTTTGCAAGGCAAGACACTTCCCCTTTAAATACCTACGGCCCGCCCACACGGACTGCATATGGAGGGAGTCAGAAATTAAGAGAGCATTCTGCATTCAAACAGCACATCAAATGCATGCAGAGACACCTTTAAGGCACAGCAATGGGAGAGGGAGGGGGGGTGTCGAAGCATGCTTCCTTCACCAGCAACCCACATATACACATAAACCATTCTGATTTTATTTATTTATTAAAAAGACTTACTGGTCTGATCCACTTTCCAACACCGAGACGTTAAGGTGTTTGTTTGTTTTTTCGGCCTTCCAAAGTAGTCTCTCTCAAAGAGCAATAATGCATATACAGGCGCGCGCGCCCCCGTCTCCAAAGCAAGCACCGGGGCAGACTGAAGCGGCGGGGGTGGGCTGGGGGGCGAGCAGCGATAGCAGCAAACAGCTGGAAGGATGAACTTGGGAGATCTGGAGATCTGAGCAAAGCCAGCGGCTCAGAAGCAAGCATTTACTCCTGGCGTCGAGAGCAAGAGCAGCAGCAGCAGCAGCGAGCGAATGGAATCTACCTCTGAGCCCCAGAAGCCTTTTCCCCGGCAGTCAAAGCATGGAGACCGAATGGGAGTGAGCAACAGAAGCAACCGGGTCCCTGCATAGTCCCCGGGCGCAGACCCCCTTGGCGGGCAGCTGCCTCGAGTGGAATGAGGGGGTGGGTTGGGGGGGGGAGCCAGAGAGGGAGAGCGAAGCAACAGCCGCGAAGCGGGAGCGGGCAAGCGGGCGTCCCCTCGCGCGCCCTCAGGCAGCCCCGACGGCTCCTCGCGCGCTCCTGCCTGCCGCGGCGCAGCCCAGCCCGCCGACCTTCCTCGGCTCTCGCCCTGCCAGCCCTTCGCAGCAGCAGCAGCTCCAGCCCAGGAGCCGAGGCGGCGCCACCATGAAGGCTGCCCGGCCACCCAGCCGCCCCTCTCCTCCTCCTCCCTCCTCACGCCCCCTTCCCTTTTCCCCGAGGAGGCTCCGGAAAGGACCTCCGGCATCCACCACCTCCTTCCCCTCACAGCCTGCGCGCAAATGCAGCAGCAGCGGCGGGAGCAGCCAGCAGACCAGAGGCGCCCCCCGCCCGCCCGCCTCACACACAACACACACACACGCACCCCTGCGCGCGCGCACACACACACACACACCGCCTCCTCAGCCGGAGGGGACCCCCCTCGCCTCCTCTCCCCGGATTCCGCCTGCGCCTCGAGGGGCGCAACAGCCCGGCTGCCCTACCTGCTTCCTTCTCTCCTCTCCCTGCGCGAGGAAGGGAAGGGAAGGGGAGACGGAGGAGAAAAGAGCCGTCGCTACCAGCGCCGCCGCCGCCGCCTTCTCCTCCTGCTGCTGCACCAGCAGCAGCCCCGCCAAACGCAGCAGCAGCCGCCGCCGCCTCGCTCCGGCTGCCTGGAAAGTCCCTGGTGCGCTGCCCCGGCTCTCTTTCTCTCCCCTCACCCCGCCCCGCACTTCCTCTCCCGCCCTCCCGAAGCCCAGGCTGGAAATCCCCGGCACGCCGCGTTCCCTTCCCCTCTCTCTCTCTCTCTCGCCCTGCCCGGCTTCTCGCTACGGCGCAAGCACAAGCGCCAGACAGCAGGCGCGGCAAGCAGCTCGCCGTCGCAAGCCAGGCGGGGAGGGACTCCGGCAGGCGCGCGCCAGCCCCTTTTCTGGGCGGCCGGCGCAGCGGACTGGCTGCCTGCCCTGCCAAGCAAAGAGAGAAGCAGCGGGGGGGGCGGGTAGGAGGGGCGAGCCGCTCTTCCGGAGGGATTTCATTCAATCCGTCTCGCACGATCCGGCCCGCCTTTCTCTTGCAGCAAGCGCGCGGGGAGGCATCGGGAGAGGGTGCCCCCACCCAGCCAGCAGTAGGCCAGGAATGGCTTCAGGGGCTGCGCTTTTTCCTCTCTTGCGCGCGTGCACACACACACACACCGCCGGGATTTATAAGCCTGGTACTGAGGAAAGCCGATGGCGAGAGTGGCACCTCTGAGCATGTGCTGAGCGCTCCGCCCTCCTTGCACTGGGGACCCGGTTCCTTGCAGGCCTGGTGGTTTCCAGCGTTACCCAGTCGTTGCTCTTCCTCTGTGTTGCTCTTGCACGTTGGTCTTCCGGTCCTTAAGGTAAACGGGGAACTGCTTTCCGCAGTTTGGGAGGTATTTGTGTGTGTGTGTGTGTGTGTGTGTGTGTGTGTGTGCATCCTGCTGCATTCCATTCGCACTAGTGGGTGTGACCCACTAGGCAAGGAGGCGAAGAAGGGACAATTCTGAGCATGCTCCTTTTTTAAAAAAAACAACAACAACACACGTACACGTACAAAACCACAATTCTTCAATTTGGACTAGAGTGCTTTTTAATTTACTAAGCCCCACTGCACATTGTGGAGCCTGTTCTGAACAAGCAGACATAGGTGTGTGCTGTAAACGATTAAATAGGCATAAACGTGCCCGCGCGTTCGAGTTGTTCAGTTGTTCCAAAGTGAAAAGGCATGATTAGTTTTGGGGTGATGCGTGCATGATTCATAAGAGGCACCCACTTAGATGTCCCTTCATTCTCACCCTGAAAGGGCATGCCTCTTCTATGACGACACTTGCCATTTGCAGTTTGTATCGAAAATAGTTTTCCACCAGTTACTAATGTCGCCCAACCTTCGCCAACCGGGTGCCCTCCAGATGTTTAAGACCACCACAGCCATGGTGATGGAAGTTGTGGTCCAAAACATCTGGCAGAGATACCAAGTTGGCAAAGGCTGGGCTAGCCAGTGTTCCATCACTACTTATTTTCCAGTCGAGTTATGTGGAAGCAGGGCGGTCATTACTCAATGGAACACAATATGTTTCAGAACTGAGCACTGAAATTTGGGTTCTGAGTCTCAGGTGGTGTAGTCAGCCTAAGCAACAACCCAAAATGTCACACTTATGGCTGGGCTGAAATCACACTCACACAAGATCCCCACCCCCAAATATTGTCCTCTTGCAAAAACTGGGCCAATCTGCTGCTGCTTTCAGGACAATGGCAGAATTTCTCTTGATTTTTTTTAGGAGGGAACCTGTTTTACCGGGTCTCAGCAGGAACTGTGGCTTGCAGGAAGTAGCAGAGAGTGCCTTGCACCACTTCCTCCTGGCGACACTTCCCAGAATGCCTTGGCCAGCGTTGGCACCCGAGGTGAACCACAAAATGGTGCCCTCTCCCTGCCAGAGAAGAAAGGGTGAGTTAAGATCTACATCAGGGACAAGGGAGGAATAAATATCTGATTGGGATCTGCGAATCTGGCCCTCAGCCTGAGGCGGTCACTTCACCTTGCCTCATGGATGTGCCGGCCCCAACTTTGGGAACAACAGCATTCTGGAAACCTTGGCCAATCAAGCTGAGCCAAGAGCCTTGTGCCTTCTGCAATGAACTTTTTTTTAAAAGGGTTAAAGTGAAGGGGCACGGAAAACCCTTGGCCACCATGTGATATTAAGTTCAGTAAGCAACAGTCCCCTTCTGAACACTTTGAAGAAATTCCTTTCTCTACTCCCAACCTCTGTTCTGTAGAGAGTTTTGTTTAGTTCCCCACCCACCCAACAAATGGTTGAAAAATACATTTTTGCCGCAGTTCACTACATGACAGTGACGGCAGGGACTACTGATTAAGTACACGTTCGTTCGCAATGTCTCTCTAATATTTTTCTTACGACGTGTAACTTTGTGATCGGTTGGGTTGCAAAAGTACAACAAACTTATGCGCATTGTTGGGCTTGCATCCCACACATCTCATGTGTTGTGTTGTGTTGTGTTGTGTTGTGTTGTGTTGTGTTGTGTTGTGTTGTGTTGTGTAGGATGCTCTGCCAGTAGTGTGTGGTACCCTCCAGAGATGCAGGTGAAAGGTAAGGAAGGAGGCAGAGACCAAGCCTGTGAATACATTATTATTATTAATATTATTATTAGCATTTATTTATCAGCTGTCTTCTAAACCACCCTCTCAAAGCGATTAACACACAAGGTGGTTAGAAACGGTGAAAAACACAGGAGCAACATATGCATTTAAAATATGACTAACGAGTGGACCCACATAAAGACCCGTTCATCCAACAGGGGAGGCTGTCAGAACGAAAATGTCCTGAATTGTTTCCAGAAAACGCTGCTGGTGGTTGCCTGTCAAATCTTGACAGGAATGCTGTTCCACAAAACGGGGGTCGCCACATTAAAAGCCCTCCACGGAATTACTGCGGAACGCACTTCTGAGATCTTTGGATCTTGCAGGGGAATCTCTCCCTCAGACCGCAGCAATCTACTGGATTATATAAGGAGGAAAGGCGGTCTCTCAAGAAACCTGTCCCTGAGCTGTACAGGGCATCATATTATAGGGCCAACAACTTGAACCTGGCCTGGTTTCAGATTGGTAGCTGGTGCAAATCCTGAAAGCAAGGTGTCATCTGCTGGTGGTAGTTTTCCCCCAGAGGCAGCCAAGCTGCTATGTTCTTCACCAGAGGTATCCTGTAGGGGTGTTTTTTGTGTGAAATATGTAGTTTGATGCATTCCCCCCCACACACACACACACCAGCTAGCTTCGGTCCAAACTGTAGCCTTATTCAATCCAAATATGGACTGAATAATTTGCAAATTTGTGCAAATTTGCAACACCAACTTTCTCTTCCATGGCGGGGGGTGCGTGTCCTCTGTGCACATACACAGATCATAGAATCATAGCATTGTAGAGTTGGAAGGGACCCCTGGGGGCATCTAGTCCAACCCCCTGCTGTGTAGGAATCTCAACTACAGCATCCATGACAGATGGCCATCCAACCTCTGCTTAAAAACCTCCAAGGAAGGAGAGTCCACAACCTCCCGAGGGATGGAAGCGATGCTTAAATTTAAATACTTTCCAACAGCTTGGGTAGTGAAAATAAAGGTGGCATCGCGGAGGACAAGGCTATCAATGCCTAGCGTTAACAGTCGGAGGCTGCAGTGCTTCTGAATACCAGTTGCTGGAAACCACAGGACCCAAGAAGAGTGCTCTTGCACTCGGGTCCTGCTTGCAGCTTTCCTGCAGGCAATCTGGTCAGCCACACTTGCCAGAGTGGTGCATGCTCTAGTTATCTCCCGCTTGGACTACTGCAATGCGCTCTACGTGGGGCTACCTTTGAAGGTGACCTGGAAACTACAACTAATCCAGAATGCGGAAGCTAGACTGGTGACTGGGAGTGGCCGCCAAGACCACATAACACCGGCCTTCTCGGTAGTGGCGCCTGCCCTGTGAAACGCCCTCCCAGCAGATATAAAGGCAATAAACAAGAATTTTACTTTTTAAAGACAACTCTGAAAGTGGCCCTGTTTAGGGAAGTTTTTAATGTCTGACGCTGTATTGTTTTTAATATTCGGTTGGAAGCCGCCCAGAGTGGCTAGGGAAGCCCAGCCAGATGGGCAGGGTATAAATATATTATTATTATTATTATTATTATTATTATTATTATTACTATTATTACTATTATTACTATTATTACTATTATTACTATTATTACTATTATTACTATTATTACTATTATTATTATTGGCTGCAGGAGCTTCCTTAGGTTGCTGACCCCTGTTCTAGCCCATAATACGAAGCTCTGGCTTCCTAGCTCCAAGTAACTCTAGGCTTAGCTTTTCACAAGTTTGCTCAAGAAAGGAGACGACGTAGGTGGAGGGATGGGGGTAACCAGGCAGGCAAATCGCAGCGGACAAATATATCTCCACCCACTAGGCAAGGGGCAACATGGAAACATGGCCAGGTGCACAGCAACACACAAAACTGAACTGAAAAACAGTGAGGGGGGGCAGCATGCTAGTCCTACTGCAGAACAGGACTTTTGCACCTGAGAACATAGGCAGGTTCCACTGCTGGTCAGTGTAGTAAATATGGAGCTAGGTAGACCAATGGTCTGACTTCAGACCAGCTTCCTAGGTACCTATAATGGTAGTTGGATTTGGTTTGGTGCTTGGCTTAGCGTCCCCATTTGAGTGGCTGTTGCCTTGAGGCCAATTCCGAGCTCCCATCTCTGGTTCGCATTCCTCATGCCACCCCCTGCCATGGAAACCAATGCGTGCACGATCACTATGGGACTGTTAAATTGTGAGCTCAGCTGGACTTAATGGCTAGCAAATTCGCTGGTGACCGTAAGCTTAATATGTAGAATTATTGTGCATATGAAAAATAAATGAAGTGCATGTTTCTATTTAGAAAAAAATGAATCGAGGGAGACCTCGGCCTTGTTCTCTTTCGTTTTGGTTCATGCTATTTCAGCCTGCAGGAGAGGTCTCATGTACGCCTTCTACCATATGAAGACACTCCAAAGCCATACAGTTCTTTGCCTGCAGAAATACAGAAGTCAAGGGGGAATATTCTGGCCAAACCTCCTTCCCAATAAACTCGTATGCAGCACCACTCAGTCATAAGAGTCTCCATCTGCAATTTGAAAAGTATAGTCCAAAAACAGGATCGTCATCACTTTGTCTGCTGTTTTTAAGGACTCCAGTATCTCTGTAAAAGGAGGAACATGGGGTAGTAGTAGTAGTAGTAGTAATAATAATAATAATAATAATAATAATAATTTATTATTACTTATACCCTGCCCATCTGGCTGGGTTTCCCCAGCCACTCTGGGTGGCTTCA